ATATTTTTAAAATGTGCGCACTTTGTGCGTCAACAACTTTTATATGAAACTATTTTTCGAAAGTCCAACACCAACGGAAATAATGGACTCTATCGCATTAAAAACCACCCTGTATAAGCCATGGACGAGTTTATGATAACTGCAACAAGCAAACGTCATGTGTCTTTACAAAATTTCCGATAAATCTAGATCAAACAAGAGCGTACAAATGCAAAATTGATATAGATATTATTATTCGAAAATGTTACTGTTTATTTTTTTTTTAATATGTAAATATAAATGCATAGAATACCTATACGGATTACTGACCCTTATTTACCTATCTTCAACATTCTCAACCCGTAATAAACGGAAAAACTGATATAAAAAAATTCCTAATTTAATAATTCGAGTAGTTGCATGCCATTTTGCCAAATATTATTAATCTACTTTAACCCTATTAATATGTATACATAAGTGGTCTTACCTTAAAACAAAGTCAACATTTTAAGATTAAACCAGCACACTTATTGAATGTTGTTCGAGAACTTATAAATAAAGTTACTTTATTATATAACCCAGTGGTGAGAAAATGATCAAAAATTAAGCAGTGATTACAATTAAAAACTGAGCGAATTTCTTATTTGGTCTCTCTTGATTAATTGGGTAGAAACAACTGATTCATTGAGTGATCCAATTCATTAAATTCCCTAATCTCCCAACAATTGATCATTTAGGTTTCTTTTTAGATAAGCAAAACTGGTAAATAAACAAATGAAAACGCTGGTACTTTCTGGTATTACAATAATTTATTCTCAATGTCAATTTGTGATTATCGAGCTATTTCATCTACTTTAATATAAATGCCTCATTAATGACTGTTTACAGAAGATAAATCAAGCTTTTCAAAGAACCAAAAAATGCGTTTGTATTTAAAATCAAAACAGTCTATGAATCGTCCCCTTCAACCTGACAACATTGCGAATGAATGGCTGCAGATCACCACATCATCAGAAAAATACGATCTTTTCGTACATAAAACAATGTTTTCATTTGAATCTACTCGTTAGATAAATAATGCGAAAGGCTTACCATCTGATCAATACACGGCAAATGAACTTTGATATTGCGTCTGATTCCACTGTTTCGAAGTAAACATCAGATCGCATGTATAATGTCAAAACTTATTTGCAAAGCCATTTCTATTCATTCTGACGTTTATCATATGATCTGGTTGCAACCGTGTGTGTGTGCTTCTGACGTCATCAAGTGAACCGTATGCTGAGAGCATGACTTTGGATATAAAAATTAAGCTGGTTGAACTTTTTATAATCAAAACGCTTGGTTTTTCATCAGAATTGTTTCAGAATTTATAATGTTTATCGCATTTTGAAAACAAGCAGCAAAGTTTTAAGATTTACCAAAAGAAATCGCACTATATTTAAATGAGTTTTGTCAGTATCGAGGTAATTCCAACGATTTGAATTTTGCGTAAAACTGGAGAATTTTTTTTTTATTTTATAGGTCCCATTAGAGGCTAGCAAAAAAAATTGTGATAAAACGAAACAAATAATAAGGTATTTTTCTGAAATGCGTTTTTCATACTAAAATATATCTGAGAATAATTTTCGTTCGAACAAAATGCTCTCATTCGCCTCAAGTATTTTTTTTCCAAATTTGCATGGTTTGTAATTGGAAAAGAGCATACAAATTTGGAAAATAAATTTATAATACAAGGACAAAGGAATTAGTACAAATACCGCGACAAAAATATATAAAGCGATCTGCAGACCCCTCTTGGACTACGGACATATTCTCATAGCCA